ATGGTGGCTCCCACCTGTAATCCCAGCACTTTGGGAGGCCAAGGTGGATGGATCACGAGGTCAAGAGATCAAGACTATCCTGGACAAAAATGGTGAAAGCCTGTCTCTACTAAAAAGACTAAAAAGTTAACTTGGCGTGGTGTTGCGTGCCTGTAGTCCCACCTACTTGGGAGGCTGAGGCAGGAGAATTGCTTGAACCGGGAGGCGGCAGTTGCAGTGATCATGCCACTGCACTCCAGCCTGGGCAACACAGCGAGACTCCGTCTCTAAATAAATAAATATCAATTAAGGTAGCAATAATCTTGATCATCAGGAGAAGATTATATTTACTGTCTTCTATTTGGACTAAGGAAAGCGTTTGATATTTTTGAGAAAAAGTAATGCAGAAGACTTTACACACACACAGACACTCACACACACACAGAGAAGTTCCTTCTTTAAGGGAAAATTGTGTAATGGCTAAGACTTTGGGCTCTGAGTCACATAAGCCTGCGATGCTACTAGTGTCTAACTTGTGTTAATGTAGGAATTAAGTGAGTTTATTCATGTAAAGGGCTTATTAGCACAATGCTGGACTCAGAATACGTACTCAATCATCAGTAACTATTTATTTCTTCTATTTTTGAAAAATGCTTAGATGAGTTTCTCCAAGATTTCTCAGATGTGGTTTACCCCCATCACTGAGGGATTGTGTCTTCATTGACTGGAGAGATCACATGTAAAAATATGCCCACCAAACCTGGGAGAAACTTACCTGAGCATTTATATAGATAATCCACATGGTTCACTTACTCAGCTGGAACATACAAAATATTTAATATAATTTCCTGATATTATTAATAATAAACCAGTTTGTTTTAGTTATTCCAAAAATTGTGTAAGAGCAGACACGGAGATGGCGGTATGTATACAGTAGAATTAGCAGAAAGTGAATTTTTTTTTTTTTGAGACAGGGAGTCTTGCTCTGTCACCCAGGCTAGAGTGCAGTGGTGCCATCTTGGTTCACTGCAACCTCCGCCTCCTGGGTTTAAGCAATTCTCCTGCCTCAGCCTCCTGAGTGGCTGGGATTACAGACATGTACCACCACACCTGGCCCATTTTTGTAATTTTAGTAGAGATGGAGTTTTACCATGTTGGCCAGGCTAGTCTCAAACCCCTGACCTCATGTGATCCAACTGCCTCAGCCATCCAAAGTGCTGGATTACAGGACTGAGCCACCAAGCCCGACCCACAGTGCTAATTTTTAAAAAGATTTTTGACTCACAAAGGCTAATCAGTCGCTCTTGATATTTGATGGGATGCTATATATTTAATTGTATCTTTTGCTGCTAATGGACTAAATAAATAACTTTCTATTGTTGGCTGAGCACAGTGGCTTACATCTGTAATCCCAACACTTTGTGAGGCCGAGGCAAGGATTCACTTGAGGCCAGGAGTTTGAGACCAGCCTGGCCAACAGGGCAAGACCCTGTTTCTACTAAAAATTCAAAAATTAGCTGGGCATGGTGGTGCACACCTGTAATCCCAGCTTCTTGGGAGGCTGAAGCACAACCTGGGAGGCAGGCGGCGGTTGCAGTGAGCCAAGATCACACCACTGCACTCCAGCCTGGGTGACAGAGAAATACTGTCTCAGAAAGAAAGAGAGAGAGGAAGGAAAGAGGAGAGAGAGGGGGGAAAGAAAGAAAAAGAAAGGAAAAAGAAAGAGAAAAAGAAAAGAAAAAGAAAGAGAGAGAGAGAATTGTTTTCAAGGACTTTCAGTGAAACATCATGAGAGGACCTGGGGCTTGCACCAATCATGCAAGCATGAAATTTCTTTGAGAACTCATGTATTTTACCTTTTTAAAAATGCAATTTTCTTTTTTTTTCCCCTCTTAATGACTTTCTTTTAACAGCATTCTTTATTTTTTTTTTTTATTTGAGACAGTGTTTCACTCTTGTTATCCAGTGTGGAGTGCAATGGCGTGATCTTGGCTTCCCGTAACCTCTGCCTCCCAGGCTCAAGCAATTCTCCTGCCTCAGCCTCCTGACTAGCTGGGATTACAGGCATGTGCCACCACCCCGGCTAATTTTGTATTTTTAGTAGAGATGGGGTTTCTCCGTGTTAGTCAGGCTGATCTCAAACTCCCGACCTCAGGTGATCCACCCACCTCAGCCTCCCAAAGTGATGGGATTACAGGTGTGAGCCACAATGCCCGACTAAAAATGCAAATTTTATATCTTAATTTATACTGTAGAATGACCTTTGAACCTAATGACACCTAACCAAAATTAAGGGGATGCCTGAAATGGTGGAGGGAGCATAGGTTTTGGAATCACACAGACCAGCACTGGCATCCTAGAGCCATCACTTACTAACTGCATGATATGGACAAGTCACTTCATTTTTCTGAATCTCAGTTTCTCCATCTGTAAAATGGGAGGAAAATTCCCACCTTGTGGTTATTGTCAGAATTAAATAAGAACATGAATGGTGCCGGGTGTTGTGGCTCACATCTGTAATCTCAGCACTTTGGGAGGCTAAGGTGGGTGGATCACCTGAGGTTAGAAGTTCGAAACGAGCTTGATCAACATGGAGAAACTCCATTTCTACTAAAAACTACAAAATCAGCCAGGCATGGTGGTGCCTATCTATAATTCCAGCTACTCGGGAGGCTAAGGATGAAGAATGCTTGAACCCGAGAGGCAGAGGTTGCAGTGAGCTGAGAACACGCCATTGCACTCCAGCCTGGGCAACAAGAACGAAACTCCATATCAAGGAAAAAAAAAAAAGAGAACACAAATGCCTTCTCTCTGCCAGACACCGTACAATGTGTTTGGGATACATAAATGATCCAGACATGGACCCTGCCTTCAAAGGGTTGGCTTCAGTAAATCACCTAACTTGGTACCTGGTATATAGTAGGTGCTCAATAAATATTTTGTTGAATGAATCAATACATAAATGAATAGTACTCAATAGATGTCAGTTTATTCTCAATTTTTCCCTACCTATCTCATCTACTCACTCTGAGAAATTATATTCTTTCTAAAAATTTTTAAATTTTGAATTAATTTTATACTTAAAAGTAACAAAAATGTACACAGAGTTCTCTTATATCCCCACTGCACTTCCCCAGTGTGAACATCTTACATAACCATAATACAGTGATCGAGAACAGGAAGTTAACATTCGTACAATATCATTAACTAAACCTTAGAACTTATTTGAAATTCACCAGTTTTCCCACAGTGTCCCTTTTCTGTTCCCTGGTCCTATCCATGATTACACAGTGCATTTAGTATTTATTTCTCCTTAATCCCCAGTCGGTACCAGCTCCTCAGGCTTTCCTTATCTTTCTTTTATTTTGGAAGAGCACCGTGATAGGCAGAATTCTAAGATGATCCCTAAGGTTTCCCCTGCTGAATGTACACACCTTGTGTACACTCCAAGAACAGGCAGAACCTGTGAATGTAATGAGATATCACTCCTGTGATGACATTACTTATCAGTTGACTTTGACTTATCCAAAGAGAGATAATCTGGGTGGGCCTGGCCTAATCAGGTGAACCCTTTAAAATAACCAGGTCCCTCCTAAAGTCAGAGAGCCTCCTTGCAAGTATGAGAGAATCTAAGGAAGAAAAAGAAAGAGAAAAAAGAAAAAAAAATTCAAGAGAATCTAAGGAAGTTAACGTTGAGGCAGAATAGGGGTGGACAGGATTACTATTTTGACTAGAATAGTCAGGGAAGACTGATCCTGTGAAGTCTGAGCAGACCTACAAGACTGGCAAGAAACAGACTGGCACAAAGCTTCCTTCTTTAACTACCTACAGGTTCAGTTTGGGAAAGGGGGCAGGATGGGAGTACAGGTGTTAATGGAAACTATATGCTCAAAGTCAGAAGGCCTGAGCGTTAGTCCAGGTGATTTAATGGCAAGTCTTTTCACCTTTGAGCCTCAAGTCCCTTTGCTGTAGTGAGGAATAACAGTTCTTGCCCAGCTTCTCACACACAGCTGCCTTGAGGATCAGATGAGATGACCCATGTGAAAGCCCTTTGAAAATAACACAAGTGGGGCCAGGTTCGGTGGCTCACGCCTGTAATCCCATAACTTTGGAAGGCCAAGGCAGGTGGATAGCTTGAGGTCTGGAGTTCGAGACCAGCATGGCCAACATGGTCTCTATTAAAAATACAAAAATTAGCTGAGCCTGGTGGCGTGCACCTGAAATCCCAGCTACTCCAGAGGCTGAGGTTAGAGAATCGCTTGAACCTGGGCATGGGGGAGGGGTGCAGAGGTTGCAGTGAGCCGAGATGGCGCCACTGCACTCCAGCTTGGGCAACAGAGTGAGACTCCATCTCATAAATAAATAAATAAAAATGAAGATAACACAAGCAAGATCGGAAGTCAACTCTTCAACCAAAGCGAAGTCTGTGAAGGAAAATAAAATGTATTCCTATCTCAGATGCAGCGGTTACCCAAAACATCTTTTTGAAAGGCCATCCAGGCTGAAAAAAGAAATAGGCTAAACTAAATAAGCATAAGTTTCATAATACACCTCAGCTAAAGATTCTTGTGTTATTTACACCAGTCAAAAATTGTGGGCCGGGCGCTGTGGCTCACGCCTGTAATCCCAGCACTTTGGGAGGCTGAGGCGGGCGGATCGCCGGAGGTCAGGAGTTTGAGACCAATCTGGCCAACGAGATGAAACCCCGTCCCTACTAAAAATGCGAATATTAGCTGGGCGTGCTGGCGGGCGCCTTAATCCCAGCTACTCAAGAGGCTGAGGTAGGAAAATTGCTTGACCTCAGGAGAGGAAGGCTCAGTGAGCCGATATCGCGCCACTGCACTCCAGCCTGGGCGACAGAGCGAGACTCCGTCTCAAAAAAAAAAAAAAAAAAATGTGTCGTGTACTTCAACTAAACTAGGAAAGAAGCCCAGGGATTCGAATCTTTAATCACCACGCCCCTTCACCCGAACTCTATTTCCCAACATGCCCCGGGCTCCTATAAATTAGCAGTCATTATGACGCAATCCCACAGCCTTCTGGGAAGCGTAGTTTATGTGTTCTCCAACTGGGGAAAGACTTAGGGCTGTGGACTACCCCTCCCGTGAGGTAGTGCGTAACTCCACCCCGTTCGCGGCGTCTTCGAACGCGCCGCGGCAGCCATGTTGGACGCGGCCAGCACAGGGGCCGGCACCACGGGGTTATCGAAGCAGCTGTCACGATGCTGGGGTCCCTGGTGTTGAGGAGAAAAGCACCGGCGCCACGGCTGCTCCTCCGGCTACTCAGGTCCCCAGTGCTCCGGGGTCATGGAGGTGCTTTCGGCCGGAATGTGACCACTGGGGGTCTCGGGGAGCCTCAGTGGCTGAGGGCAGCCGCCGGGGGGCGCTCTGGAACATCGCCGGCCTTGTTCTCCGGACGCGGGGCAGCCACTGGGGGGCGCCATGGAGGACGCTTCGATACCAAATGCCTCGCGGCTGCCATTTGGGGACACCTTCCTGGCCCTGAAGAAACACTCCCAGGACAGGACAGCTGGACCGAGGTCCCCAACAGGGCCGGACTGGGCATGTGGGCCCTGGCCACAGCGCTGGTGGTTCATTGCTACAGCAAGAGTCCGTCCAACAAGGGTGATTATGAGATCTGGGTTTGAGGAAGGGAGAGGCGGGAAGATTGTCCTAACTTCGTATCTTAGGAGGGTGGGAGGTACTTAGAGATTTAGATCCTTTAGAGCCCAAGTCTTGGAGGCACTCAGACATCATCTGGTTACAGGGGCAGAGTGTTGCCCTGGAGAGCTCATCACCTCGGAGTTATATAATCTCCTATCATAGGTCCGACTCCCCTCTCTGTGCATCATTTTATCCATCTGTACAATGGGATACTGGACTAAACATCTATTATAGCATGGTCCCATTATGTTTTTGATATTCTGCTTGATCCAATTCCTCTTTCCTGAGATATCCAGGAAGCGGAAACTGTGGGGTGTTAAGGACAGCTTCTAGATGGTTTAGAGAAGTTGCCACCTCCCACCCGGCCACCCTCCCACCCCCGCCCACCAGAGCTGCTAGAGTCAGGAAGAACTTAACTTGGTTCTAACGCCAGCTTGACCTCAGTTTCTTTATGTAGTGAAGAATAATTTCTCAACATTTTTACAATACTGTTACTTTGACCCCTTTTGGAGTTCAGCAGCCTGAGTCTGTCAGTCTCAGGATTTTGCTGTGTCTGGTGAGGTGGTCTTGCCATGTGGTTTAGTTGTCAGGAGAAGGAAGCTGGATTCCTGGAGGCCCAAGACCAGCTGTTGAGGGGATGGCTGATCCCAATTAGTATCTCATCTGGATGCATGGAGCTGAGCAGCCGCTGAGAGAGGGGACAGAGTCAGACTTATGACCTGTGTGAGTCCAGCCATTCAGGTTCTTAAGTCGTTCCTCGAGAGGAAAGACGGAGGCCTGGTGTCCATGGGTTCCATGCATCTGAAGCTCTGAGAATTTGGAGCAAGAGTTGGGGGAGTGGGGAGTCCTTAACTTTCATTCATTTGATGTGGCCAGTTGTAAAGGAAGGACTTTGGTCTGTGAGAGACAACACTGGGGATCTTGTTTTGGTTCTGTGTCGAACTCCCACTGTGAATTTGAACTTCTGCTTTTCCTTACTGGTCCTCCGTTTCCTCATCTACAAAATGAGGGTGTTGAGGACAACACTAAGGGCATCTAGCTTAGGCATGCCAGAATCCTATAACCTTCAGCGTTTTTGTGGGATACCCTCTGTTTGTCTGGTTTTAGGCTAGGTGTGTGGGAAGTCCTAACAACACAAAATCAGTCAAGGGGACAGTGCAGGCAGTTGGAATGCAGGGCTGGTGAGTGGTGCTATGTGTTGTTGGGGGATCAGAGGGCCAGTAGGGTGAGGAAAGCCTTCCAGTAGTATTGGAGACCCCCAGAGGATGGGAAATTCAAACTTAAGTTCTGAAGGATGAAAAGGAGGATGACCTTGTGAGCCCCAAGAGAGCAGGAAATAGATGTTCTCTCTCTCTCTCTCTCTTTTATTTTTCCCCCAGGTTATACTAGCAACTTTCCCTTATACCTAGACATCATTTGCCCACCACAGTGTCTGGAGCTTAGTAGATGCCCAGTAAATGTGTGAGAGTTGGATTATATTCTACGCAAAGGCTTCAGGGATGGAAATAACAGAGTTTCAGGGCACCATGGTGTGTGCAGGGGCTAGCAGAGTGACCAGCTTGGTTGGAGGATAAGGTCTTTGGAATTAGATGAGAACGGATGGAGTGGTACCTGGATGCCAGTTGGGGGTGGGGTGGATGAGGGTGCTGGAATTTCTTCTGTAGGCAGTGGAGAGACATGGAAGGTTCATGAGCAGGGAGTGTTGAGTCCAGTGTATTTGGTGAGGTCTTGCCTAAGAAGTTCCTGGGGGTTCCAAACTGGACTTTGTAGCCTGAACTCCAGCAAGAATACCGGGGTCTATTTACCAAAATAGATAGTGGTCAAAACTGTGACCAGTTCCTGCTGGAATTGACTTGCCAGCTACCCTGACCCCTGATTTAGAGTTTTGACCTGAGGCCCTCAGTGCAGTGTGGTAGAAACTGAACCCTTTCAGAAGCCAGGAGGCCCTGGTTCTTAGCTCCTTCCTCACTCTGTAACCTTGCAGAAGCCACATTTTTTCCTGCAGAGTGAGGGAAGAGTGGATACAGCCATCTCTAAGGAAGGCTTGATTCCCCTCCCAGCTGGTGGCTGTCTGAGCCATGCTTGGGTATGTGCTTTGGGTACAATCTGGTAAAGTAATTAGAAAGGACCTGTTACTGGAATCTAGGCCAGGAGGCATCAATGCCTGAACCACAGGACTGGCTTTCATATACATGAGAAGGTGGGTTTCATATCTGTTGTACAGACAAGGAAACTAAGGCTCAGGAGGTTAGATGAGTGGGCTAGGTCATACAGCAAGTAGTGACAGCTGGGCGGGAGCCCAGGTCTCACCATCTCCAGATCCTGCTCTTTCACCCTACTCCAGTGCATTTGCTCATGGGTGAGTCTTTTGGCTGGAGTGAGAGTTCCCCGAGTCGGGGATGACTATGAGTCCATCCAGTGCCCAGCAGTGTAGCTCACAACCAGGCTGGGCACAGAGGGCTCCATGTACTTGGTTTTGAGCTATTTGAAAAGCCTTGTTGACTTTGAGGTTTTTCTGAGTCAGTCCAATTTTCTTTATGGCCACAAGGTGGTGGCAACAGCCTGCAGGCTGCCCAGACCAGCCCAGGCTGACATAGCTAGCATTACTTTCCTCCTAAGCTTGGTGTTTCCTAACCAGACCCTCTGCTTTGGGTCTCCCTTCCCTGGGCTTCGCACTGGGCGGTTTGCAGCCGTCTCAACTGTCATTTCAACTCTTTGACATCCTTGTGAAGCTGGCAGGGCAAGGGTGTCTGTTTTACAGTCAGGGAAGCTGTGGTTGAGAGCGAGAGGCGCTGCCATGGTCACAGAGTGGGTAGTGGGCGTGGAATGGAGCCATATCTCAAAGACTCCTAGTTGAGGCCCTCTCCATCCTCAGACAGCCCTGCACCCTGCTTGCTCCCCTCATTCTACCTTTCCCTTTGGGTTTATGACCTTTCACATCAACATTCAGAAGTGGTTTGAAGAACTAGAGTTGAGGGAGAAAGTGGACAAGGTCAGGGAATGGCTAACAATAACTTTACAGGAACATAAAGCATACTAAGCAGAGCTTCCTAGATTGTGAAGAGCGCATTGGTTATCATAAGCAAGACACAGTGCTAGCAGTTGTGCTCACTCCCTGTATGATGAGAGGAGTTAAGAGTTTGGGCTCTGTCGTAGAAAGGTGTGGAAGTCAGGTTGTTAACAGTGGACACCACGTGGGGAGGGAATGATTCGCTTTCTTGTTATGTATTGTGGCATCAGTTTGCTTGTTAAAGTCCGTGTTTCTAAAGCACTTCCACTGTCTCAGTGGGCCCTCCATGCAGTCCTGAGGCGGGTATGTCCTGGCCACGGATCTGACCAGTGCCTCCTTTCTCTTCAGATGCAGCCCTGATGGAAGCTGCCCGTGCCAACAATCCGCAAGAAGTCAGCAGGTGAGTTGAACCCCATGCCTCATTCTCCCCACAGGAGAGACTGAGCAGGGCGAGCCTCTTCTCGTGTGATGACTCTGCTTTGGAGGAAATCCTCACCCTAAGCTGAGAACTGTCCCCTGTGACTTCCCTGTTAGTCACAGAGTCACCTGGGCTCCCTTGACCCAGATCAACCCTTAGGTACTTTAGGTAGGGAGTCAGCTCCCAAACATCCCTGGATCTTTCAGCTATTTTACTCTTCACTGGGTTGGTTTGGACTCCCCCGACCCCCATATCTTGTGGGTTCTCCTCTGAATCTTCTAATTTGTTCTCATTTCTTTGGGAATGGCCATGTGTTCGTTATTGCTTGCTGCCTGGACAGGTTGCAGGTGGGCATCCATGGAAAGGCTTGGGGATTTGGGACAGAGCTGGAAGAGACCATCTGCCAGGAGGCCTGGGGCTAGAAATGTCTGCCTGCAGGGCTAGGTGCCCATGCTGGGCCCAGCCCAGGGACAGACTGTTTATGTAGCCTCACTGGCTTGGCTAGTCCCAGTGACTACTGGCAGGTTGAATTTGAGGCTTATTTTTCAGCAAGGGCAAGATTCAGCTCAGCTCAGTCTAGTGCCAGGTATAGGGCGGAGTCTGTGTTCAGGATGGATGCTCACACTGGGGCTAGCATGGGGCATCAGTTACAAGTCTGTTGGTTAAGGGCAGAGGTCTTATTCTTGGTGAAACTACTGGCCTCCACTGGGCCTACCCTTGGCCTCTCTTGGCCCTTTATATAGAGCTAGGTGGCCATAGGACATCCCTCTTCATGGCCATCATGTCTGCATGTTAGGAAGTCAGATGTTGGGGTGACTATTTCTGCACCCACTGCTACAGGCCCTCGGTGCTCTTCCCCACTCTAGCTTCCCGAACATGCAAGAAAGTGTTGAAAAGCAGCCACAGCCCCACCAAGACTTACTACTTTGATTCCCTTTCATTTTATCTGCAGCATTATTATTGATTCTCAAGGGTGCTTTTGAGTATTAATGTTCAAGCTTTAGTTTTTAATAAACCACTTTTAGAAGTATGGGCTGGGAGTTGTTTTGTAGCCAAATAAATATGATGGAGTAATAGTTTAATAAACATGCAGTGATGCATCTTAAAAACCAAGCACAGATGTCATCTTATTATAAGAGCCATTCATAACTGCAGGCTGTGTGTGGCATCTTCATTTCTCCAGAAGCAGATGTGCTTTGGTTCATTCTGCTGCAGTACAAGGGAGTAAGGGGATGGAAGTTGACCCTTGCTGACCCTGGAATCACCTGTTGGCTACTGCCAATGGCTACCAGGCTGCGGCTTTCCCCTTTTGGCAGTGCATTTGCAGAGCAGCAATGTTGGGAATCTACTCTTCCATCCCCCAGGGATGCCACTGCCCTATACCATTGAGCTGCCAAGCATTGATTATTTAGTTCTTTCAAATACATGTTTTTCTAATAGCAATTAAACACCCACCCCCAAAATACAGAAAGTAGTTGAACTTACGGTGTGTGTGTGTGATTCAGACAGTTTTTCTGAACATTCATTCTTGTATGGGGCCTTTCATGTGTGTCCCAGGCTCTAGCCTGCTTTTCTCCTGCCTTCTCTTGTCCCACTCACTTGGTCAGGTTGACCCCCTCAGAATCTCCCTTCACTCCATGTGAGGAAGTCAGAGATAAGCAAGGCACAGACCTGCCTTCAGCCCCCATCTCATACAGGACATAGAGCTGAGAGCAAGCTGAGCAAAGGTGGGAAGCAGATGCTGGCTGGCTGCTCGGTGTGGGGAACATGTTGTTGCTCCCAAGGTGGGACTTGTACAGGGTGTCAGGAAAGAGGGAAAGTGGTCTGAGAGACGCTGGAATGTGCAAGGCTTGCCATGCCCAGGGTGAGGAGTTTTGAACTCTTATTCCATACACAGTGGGGAGACGTGGGAAGTTTTTGAGCAAGGGCATGACCCAGGTAAGGCTGACTTGCAGATGAGTAAAAGGATGGACTGCATTGGGAAAAGACTGAGGGCCGATCTGTTAAGAACCTGTTTCAGTTTCAATAAGACAGATTCAAGATGACGAAGGCCTGAATAAGCACATCCCTCCCTCCACCTCACCCAAAGCCATTCTTGATTTTGAAAGAAGGACTGGGCCTCTGGTGGGCACTGCAGATAGGGGATGGGGATGGTGACCCAGGCCCTGGTCTCAAGGAAACAGACATGTAGCCCACCAGTTGTAGTTCTTCCTGCAAATGAGCCAGGCCTGGGGGCAATAGGGGCAAAGGGAGCCTGACCATCCTTGCTAGAAGGAAACTCTGGAATTCCTATGGCAGGTCCTTATTCAGCCTTTCTGTACCCTAGACTCTGCACAGGTGGTTCATGCTGCTCTTTATGTCTTCCTCTGTGTCCTGGCTCTTAGCTCTGCCCAACAGACCTGCCTATAGTAGGATAGAATCCCATGCTCAATATATATATATATATTTTTTTTTTTTTAATTTACACAGACAGTCATGCATTGCTTAACAATAGGGACACATTCTGAGAAGTGCAATTTCATGACCGTGTGAAGATCATAGAGTATACTTACCCAAACCTAAATGGTAATAGCCTACCACACACCTAATCTGTATGGTATAGCCTGTTGCTCCTACAGTAGGAATCTGTATTGTTGTCCTGAACACTATAGGCAGTTGTAACACAATGGTAAGTATTTATGTATCTAGACATATCTAAATACAGAAAAGGTAATTTGTTGCACTGTGATGTTGAGACAGCTGCAACGTCACAAGGGGATAGGAACTTTTCAGCTTCATTATAATCTTACAGGATCACCTCATACATGCAGTCTGTTGTTAACCAACTTGTCATTGTGTAGCACGTGACTATACCTTATGATTGGTATGGTCAACAATATCAGTATTTAGAGCAAAACTCAGACCTCGTAAATAATATTGTCCTTCCTACAACAAAGTCACAAAAAAAACAAACAAACAAATAATGATAATAATGTCCTTTACCCTTCCTCCCCCCTTGACCTCTCTGGGGCTCTGTACTGTGCCTGCCTCTACTTGACCTCCCCCAGCTCCTGTCCTTAGCCCCAGAGTCTTGGGAAAGTTCCCGATAGTGAAAGGCAGTAGCCTGAGGCTCTTTTGCTCCAGGGGGCGGTGCTTGATCCTCCCTTTTTTTTTTTTTTTTTTTTAAAGAGACCGGGTTTCACCATGTTGGCCAGACTGGTCTCAAACTCCTGATCTCTTGATCTGCCCACCTCAGCCTCCCAAAGTGCTGGGATTACAGGCCTGAGCCACCGTGCCTCTCTTTGATCCTCCTTTTTCACGGCCTGGAATCTTCAGTGCATGGGCCCTGGATGCGGGTCCTACCCCCAGCAGCCCTCTGTCCTCTGTATTCATTATCCTCCGCTTATACCTTTCAAAGCTCAAGTGCTGCTTCCCTTACAGAGCCTCCCTGGATTCCTCCCAGCTGGGTGTGATCTTGTCTTCTTTGCCCCTCCCCCCACTTTCATTCTACACCTCCCTTCTGGTCTGGGAGGGTACGAGGGTCATCTAGGAAGGGCCATGCCAGCTTGTCACAGGAGGGGACTTCTTTTTTGGAAGAGAAGTTGGAGGTCAAGTTGGAGAAGTAGGGCTGAATGCCACTCGCCACACTTTGTTCTTTATATAAAAAGTTTGTGGGCTAAATTTCATCTGGCCTGTGTATACCTGAAATAAGCAGTCCAGAGTCCACTTTTACACCCCCCTTGGCTATATCAGAGAGAGGCCAGGTCTCTTTCCTTCCTCCTTCCCTCCCTCCCTGTGTGCCATCTATTTCCTCCCTTCTCCCCTGAGGCACTTAAGTTCATCCATCTCTGGCTCCTGGGAAGTGGAAGCCTGGCCTCTCTCCTACCTGTCAGCAGTGTGAGCAGGTGGCCCTGCTCCTGGGCTTAGCTCAGAACTGAGCCTGGCTTCTGGACTCAGGAACTGCTCACCCGAAACCTAGGGCACAAGGCAGACTGGAGGCACATCTGTCCAGGCTTAGACTGAGACTTGTGAGGAGCTGTCAGGACTGGGAAAAGTGAGGCCTCCTGTTCTCCCAGCGGAGATCACATTTCCTTCAGGACAAACTGGGTGAAAGACAACACCGCTACCTGTCTCCTTTCTCCCAGCAGGGGGCTAGGCTCTGCTGAGTGCTTACCTCAGTTGTTCATCAGCTCGAGCCGTCTCTAATAAAGGAAGCCTGGCGAGATCCATCTTGGGCCTCAGTCTACTTGCCCTTTTTCTCCAGGATTTATTTGTTCATTTGACAAAGAGCACCTGCCATATCCTGATTCCTCTGCTTGGCACAGGGAACACTAGCAGGCATGATTCCTGCCCAAGATGACAGAGTTGGGGATAAACTGTGGCAACAGGGTGGTCAGTGCTGTGAGACAGGAAACTAAAGGGGCTGCAGGAGCCCAGAGGACAAACAGCCTGGGGGATCTGAGAAAGTTCTAGAGGAAATGGTACCTGGTCATAGACTTAAAATGTTAGTTGGGCTTCGTAAATAGAAAGGGAAGGCATTCCAGGCAAAAAGGGCTCTGGATGTGGTAGCACAAGGCAAAGAGCAGCCTGCGGGGTCTTCAGGAGGGGAAGTCACATGCTGTTCAGTGCTGCTAGATCACAGTCTGAGGCCAGGAGAGACTGGAGATGGGTAGGGACCTGGTCGTGGAGAACACTGACTGACTCTCTGTTTGTCCCTCAGTCATCTATCTGTCCAGCCTGTGCTTTGTGTCTATTCCTGAGCTGAATTTGGAGGAGGGAGGGTGGCAACAAAATGAGGAAGGAGAAACAGTCCCTGCCCTGGAGGAGCCCATGTGCCCTCTGGTGAGGAGGAAGGACGTGAGTCAAAACCTTGAGAGCCAGCAAAACAGGGGACAAATTACCTACCTTCCAAGTAACGTGAAGATGATAACACCTAACCCCAAAGAGTGGCAGAGTTATTATTGCTAATAACAAAATGATTAATTCATTTGACCAGTACTTAT